AGAAGACCTACAGGTTTGGAATGATCATGATTAAGAGTTTTCATTTTTGGGGAACTATCCCTTTAAGTACTGAACTTTACCATTTGTTCCATGGACAAGTATGAGAAAGAATGATGAATGACGATTTTATTTTACAGCCATTGTAGAACCTCAGCATCACTCACATTTTCTTCAGAAACATAATAATTTACAGCAAAATAGACATTTCCTCTGCATATTACTGCACACAGCAAAGTCAGAAGCTCACCTGACAATGTGACACTCTGAACAGACCGTTCCAATCTGCTGTTCTACCTGATTCTCCTCGATGACCTCCCACAATGCTGAGTCAGAGCTTTCTACCTCTCAATTTCTCTCCCTCTCCTTTCCCATCTCTGTTGACCTATTGAATTTTCCCTTACAGCTTCATGGACTGCTGGGCTTCATTCAGTTTGACCTCTGGTGTTCAGTGACTGACCCTGTGCGCTGAAGGCGCTCGCCCCTGGAGACCTACAAAGCCTAGGCTGGATTTCCCTTCATCCGTCCAATGGAGACCTGACCGGGTCGAACAAAAGCCGTCTTGCTGAACTGATCTCGGGTACTCGCAACAAAGAATACACAACATAGCTTGCTTTTCAACCACTTTAAAAGAGCTTGTCTACATCAAGTCCCCTAATTGACTCTGGGGGTGAAAAGAACTGCCTAATTGCATGATTTAGTCTCTCAATACACCCTGACAGATGACACTAATCACAGCGGGAATTATTAAGCCATGTTTCTTGCTTAGACAGCAAATGGGATGCGATAAAAGGTCACACATATTGGTCTTATGATATGAGAGCAGATTGTGGTTAAAATGGCTCATATGCGGCACGGGTTGTGTGTGTGTGTGTGTACGTGTGTGTACGTTCACTCACTCATCGAAATGCATTCTGCAGAGCTCAGTGTTGAAGAGTCGATGTTAAACCGTGTTTAAATGTGCCCTTTGACTGGGACCTGCACTGTCCCAAAAGATGACACACAACTAACAAAGATGGATGATATGTCAGTAATATATGATTGTCAGTTTACAAACGGTCCCTAAAAGAGAGAGAGAGAGAGAGAGAGAGAGAGAGAGAGAGAGAGAGAGAGAGAGAGAGAGAGAGAGAGAGAGTATGCGTGTGTGTACTTAACTACACTCTAAACAATGCTGGGTTTTTTCAACCCAAATTTGGGTAAAATGTGGACAAACCCAAATGTTGGGTTAAAAATGTCATTTCAAATTAACTCAACTTCAACTTTCACTTTCAACTGTATTTTTTTAACCCAACCCAATTTTTAACCCAACATTTGGCTTTGTCCATATTTGACCCAAGCATTTTTTGCGACGACCAGTTTGAGTTTTAGACCATCGGAATGGATACAAACAGCATGAATTGTGAACATTTTGTCCGGAGGTCACTTTCTGAGGACTGTTTGAGGGTCAAGACTTGGTTTTAGGGATAAGGTTATAATTAGGCCAAGGTTAAGTTTAGGGTACGTGTTCAGGTTAGAACCTGACATAAAACACTTAGTGATGTGTTGGGTTAGGGTTTAAGCTAGAGATTGCATTTTGTCATTGAATGTCCTCACAAAGATATATACAAGAGTGTGTGTGTGTCCTTGTAAACCCTACACAGATGGCAATATATGAAATCCATGTCCTTTTTGGGACATATTTGGTCCCCATGAGGAAACGGCTTATAAATCAGTGATGTTTTTTTTTGAAAATGTAAAAATGTTGAAAGTTTTCTGTGATGTAGGTTTATAGGTAGTGTTAAAGAGGATAGAATGTACAGTATAAAAATCAGTATGTCTATGGAGAGTCTCCCTAAAACATGAAAACACAACGTGTGTGTGTGTGTGATTTTTGCTATTGGTTAATATATTGTAAATTACTGGCAGGCTTTTTCTAGATATTTAGGCATTCAACTAAAGTCAAGTAGCAAAACATATAGTCTATAAGTTGTGGTTTGTTTCTATGGTAGCAGGGGTTGTCAGGTTGACTGTGGTGGGCTGGTGTGGTTGGGGTTTTTGGTTGTGTTTGTGGTCAGTGGTGGAAATTCAGATTATTTTTTTTCATGTTTGTGTATATTATCATCTGAGGAAAGTTTTGGTTAGTAATATATTAAAGGTTGTTCCAACCCATGTTTGGGTCAAATATTTTAATTAAATCTTTAAACCCAAAGGTTGGGTTTGTCCATGGCTTGATACAACCCAGCATTTTTTAGAGAATAAGATTAATAAACCATGTTTAATACTAATTATTATAAACCCAAATTTTGGGTTAAAAGTGTAATTTACAATTTTAACCCAACTTCAACTTTCACAAAATGTAATAAAAAAATTACAGTTTGTCCATATTTGACCCAAATTTGGGTTGAAACAACCCAGCTTTTTTACAGTGTATATTTATTATTTATATAATTATAATACAATGTATTATTATTATTAGTATTATACTTATTATTGTTGTTGTAGTTGTTAAGCATTAATAATATTTTATATTTTAATTATTTTTATGTATATTCAATCACAGAAGAAATGGTTCTATTTAGAACAAGAAATGGTTCCATCCCCTGCTTCATATATGGAACTCCAAAATGGTTCTATATAGAACCATTTTTTTAATTTTTATTTTTTTGTAAAAGGTTCTATTGGCCAAGTATGGAACCCCATATAGAACCCAGAGGAACCCTTTTTTTAAGAGTGTATTGAACCTTTTTGGGGTTCCAAATATGTAGCGCTGAAAGAACTTTTTAAGGTTTTTTATAGAACCTTTTCTTCAAATTTGATTACATCTTCTTTATTTTGCATTGCACTCTTCTTCATTAAAGCCAATAAAAAATAATGAAAGAAATTAAAGATTATAGAGAGACGAGTGTTTGCGCATGAGTGAAAGAATGTAGACCATTCACTTCTGGTCCGTCCCTCCATCATCACACACATTCATTTGTTCTGTTTTTCACATGCACATAATTTGAGCTCGGTGTCCTCTACCCTGATTCACTCTGGGTTTCTGCCTCACTTAACTCTCACACACATCACACGGCGAGTGGAAGTAGAAATCACTCTCAGAGGGTGTGGGTGTGATGAGATAAAATCGGCAGCAGTCTTTGTGCACAGATAATTATAATATCACTGTAACAGCTTTCATTGGACAGTAAACATGCAAGCTGTTATGAGACACCCGATAAATACAACAAGGGCAATTTCCAGTCACAGAGGCATGAGAAAGATACTCAACTTAACAAACCTAATACGACAAGTCAAGTGAGCGCTTAACTACTTTCTCATTACCTTCCAAACACATGTGTGGCATTTTAATTTAGGCCTATTTTTCCTGCACTAAATTGCAAACTGTCATTGAACAACACATAGGTGTTCAGTAAATAAGCTGTGAAATGTGATTACAGACCAACATTAACATGACAAAAAGTAGATAAGACGTGCCCTGGGCAACCCTCTAGGAGGTGTCATTTCATTTCAGCCTTGTTATTATTGTTGCAAGAGGGAACTATTCACACCTCCCTGCCATTAAATACCACACAGGACATTTGTCTGTTTCTAACTAAGTTAGGAAGTTAGTTGATGCCCTCATTAGGTTTTGATGGCATGTGGCTGCATGGCCTCATTCATCTTAATAGTAGTTTTGGACTTTATATGAACATCTATCTGGATACATTTGATCACTAAGACCCTGTTTTCACGTTAAGATGTGTTTTGGTCGATCGGATCACAAGTGGACGATGCTAAATTCAGGTGTTAACAAACCGTTTTGAGCTTGTCCACTTTTGACCATTTCGGTATTCGAAAAACACATTCTACCAGATTGCTTTCGAAGTGTATAAACGCTCATGTGGTTGAATGTGGTTCTAACAGCCACAAAAGACTGTCTACTATCCGCTTATGACCTAACACGTAAACATAATCAGAAGCGCGCTAGTGGGATTTATGAAAATGAAGATGGAAGCGTACCAAGCTCTCTCACCATTCCTGATTTCTAACACACTCTTTGGGTGTGTTAGAGCAGAAATGAAAACTGATGCTCACCATTTTGTTTTTCTCTGTTGTAAATTGAGCAAGCTAATTTTTTCCATTATATCTACAAAAACATATTTACCAACCCAAAGACCCTCCACTCAAAGAAATCAGGATTAAAGAGAAGGATTAAAACACCGGGTATGTCGCCATCGTCTACTTGTGATCGCAAGACGTATACAGGTGTCAACAGGGCCTAAATGTCAAAATGGCAGCGCTCATGTCGACCTGCTTGATGAGTAAACTAAATAAAACTCATTTTTAAACTTCTTTATTAAAGTCGGCATGAAATGTTAAATATTTGTTATTTTGACGACGTATGTAAAACATGCTTCTCGACCAAGATTTTTATTTTTTTATTTTATCCATCTCATAGTGACTGGTTGTCTCGCCCGGGTGCCAAAACTTCATCAGAAAAGAGAAGAGATGTCACTGCAATAATAATAATAATAATTTGTAAATATATGTATTAAAAAAATGATTTCATGGTGACTTTAAAAATGTTATTCATTTAGGCCTATACAACTTTTATAATAAGCAAAAAAAAAAATCACATTTGAATTCGTTCAGAGCATTCAAATATGAAGAGAAGTGTTAATTGAGGTGTATCTATGTAGGGACCACCACCCAGGCCACAGTGGGACGGTCCGCTGTGTGTATTGTAGATGGGATCTGATGGCGAGGTAGTGGAATGTGTTGCATGCGTGCGGGGTTGAACCAAAACTCGTGTAGGAGGAGACATTTGACGCTGACAAAATATGACATAGTTTGTGTCTATTTTTCGTTTATTATTTAAAAAAAAATTGAATTTTACGTCTAAATATTTCCCGTTTGTATTTCATTTAGCTTCATACGTAGTAAATACACGTCCTATATGATTAATTAGATACGCCGTCACCCTGCCGCCTGACTGCAGAATGGATCGTTCCTCAGTAGGTGGGTCTACGCTGCGGGCAACAGAACCGAGATCAATGAACCAGGCGATTTACCGAAACTGGTCGGACGAGCCTAGGTGGGAATAAACCATCGATCAAGAGCGAGCTTTTTATCAAGCAGAAATATTTATCTGCTCAAGCACGGATTATCACTTCACTCCGAAGCCAACATTAAAGTGTGCGATGTGGAAAATTTACAGTTCTCTACTGTAACCTAATATCAACTGATTTTGAGAGTAGGCTTTTTAATTCATCGTTGGGTCACATAACAGAGGGGAATACAGGATGATCTTCGCAAATACGGCCAATCCACTGAGAACTTCGTCATATCGAAAGCAGGTAGGTAAAGTATGGCATTGCAGTTGTAATGATGATAGAGAGTACAGGATGGACTCGCAGTGGGTCAGTAGATCCTTTACCTGGGACAGAATGTATTTAACTCTTGCTGGTGCGCGCTCGCTCACGCACAGTGGCTGTGTCTCAACATCTAGTGAGCTGCCTGCCTAGACAGCATTTTAGGGCTCGTGCGGCGTTTTTTGATCTTTTCTGACTCGGAACGGGATTATGATGGATAACATTTATGCTCGCACATTTTAATTGTAAGAAAAATGCTAAGTCTCTGTGTTTTGAGATGCGGACATTGCCTTTAAAGCATTTTTTTCATGTTAATCATACACATTTATGTTAATTTGGTGTATTACACAACACCACTTCATTTGACCTACAGTTGCACAGTGTTTAATATTTATAAAGTCTGTTGACAGAACTGAAAGAGTCTTTTTTTTTTTCAGCTTTGGGATGTCACACTGAGGCTAGAAATAGAAATGAGACCACAATGAAGTGTCATTTCTGTAGATGTTCTTCACAATTTCGTTTGTTAAAGAAATTGTGTAATAATAATGTTACTGTCTTTTTAAAATGAACATTAGCATGCTTGGTGTTAATGAGTGAAGGGAGATGAGGATGATAGAAGCCTGAAAGTCTCCCATGGCAACTTGTGTCAGTAGATTCTTGGGTGTGTTATGAAGAATCTCCGCCTAATTAATATTCACAAGTTTTCCAGCAATTTGCTGGGCCAACAGTGGGTGTGGCCTGTGGAATTCTATTTAAACATTGCTTGTCTACATCCCAAATCTGCAAATGTGAGAATTTATGGATGTCACACACACACACCCTGCATGAAATCACACATTTATGCATTTGCATAGGCGTTCATGTGGTGGAGCTGAGAGTGATGGCCAAGATAGAGGCAGCAGAAGTTAATGGGCTTCAGGATTTCACAGTTTATAGGAACCATATGGTCGAGGATGACTACAGCGCATAGCTCAGGACCCAAGGGACACGCCGACGTATGAGAGATGGCTTGGATATTGAATGTGACCCCCCCCCCCCCCCATCCCTCTCCCATTGCTTTTTCTATGTCTCCGTTAACCTTCCCATGACTTTGTTATTTTCCCTATTGATAAAACTGGACATGTTGCCTTGAGTACTTTTTATACAGCATTTGAAATCAATAGATTTTCATTGAAGAAAGTGTACGAAAATCCTTCATTCATTCTAAAAGAGAAATTAGGACAGGATCTCCATCTGTCTGTCCTGTTCAACTTTCTCATTACATTTTGTGGATGAGCTCTATGAGTTGCTCAGTTATTTTCTAATATGTTCCTGTAAGTCTAAATCATCCATCCATCTCGGCATGTAATTTTCATGCTGTTGAGGAGGGAAAAGTGGCTTGATCTCTTGCCTCAGTAATTAACAGGCTCTAACAAGCTTATGGGGCCACATCCAGTTTCACCTCAGCGCACAAGTGTGCGAGTCACTCATGTGGAAATGGGTCAGTGTGTCAAAAATGGAGAACTCCCACTAACCTAATATAGTTACAGTCAGGTGTCCGCACACATACTGACTTAGTTTTGCATGCATGTATATATATATAGTTTGCATGTTGTAAGAGCCACTGTCTTTTTTAACCGCGTGTGACGTTTTGAGGTTCTGTCGTCACTTTTGTGGTGGTTTGGTTCTGTGAACAGTCATCCGCTGATGTTCAACAGGCAGCCATTTTGTGACGGCTGAGAGAAATGGAGCCGTTTTAATGAATGACTAAGAAACAGGAAGTGAGTCAGTGATGTGGGCTGTGGTGGCCACTGCTCGGGGTGGGAGAGAGGCCCACACATCCTGTATCCCAGAGCGCCCCTGTATCATGTGATCTTTCTCTGGAAAACATTCCTTCCTCTTAGCTAAAGCAGATTTGTGGAGAAATCGCAACTCTCGGTTTGAGTGAACATGCCTCAGTCTGTGGTGAGTGTTACTGCGGTTTGGTAAGGAGACTCTCGAATCAAACTCAATCCCCAGAATACACTGAAAGGTGAATAAAAGCGTCATTTTCAGATATCTCATCTCAGATATCGCTTATATCTAAATTCTCTGAACAGTTTTTAGGATTCGACCTAAAATGAAAATTCCATCATGACATGGCTTAAAACCCGTTCTCAACAAGGCCGATAACTATATAACAAAAAAGAAATATTTAAAAAAAAATCTTTCAAAATGTAAAGGAATAGCAGATTGCAGGTCGTATGGTCCACTTTAAAGTAGGGATGCACCGATATGAACATTTTGGCCGATACGATAACCAATAATTCTTTATATTTGAAAGCCGATAACCGATATATCGGCCGATAAATCTAAATCCAATTTTTATATAATTTTTGAACACCTGATTGCAAAAACTAAAGTCTCACAATTAAAATCCGTCCCCTAACACAATTATAATGTTCGCATTATAATTTCATGAAGCCGATATGACAGCACATTTTGCACTTAACTATATTTTCCTTTTTGATTCCAATCATATTTCAAACAATTAAGATCAATCATGTTGAACAGTGCGCATCTTAAGTGTCTCAGGTTTCATGTGTTGAAGGAAATAATTCATTATTTATCAGCTTTAATATATCAGTCAAATTTTATTATCGGGCCGATAACGATAACTTAAAAATGAGCAAATATCGGCCGATACAGATATGGTGGCCGATATATATATATTGTGCACCCCTACTTTAAAGGGTAAATAAACCCCTAGTCAGAGCCTGACTCCACCCACTGGCAATATTTGAAAATGCTGAAAAAGTGAGCTGACCCCAGCGGAGATAGAGGGGATGAAATAGATGCTAAAACACTCTATCCTGATCGTTTTCAACACTCACAATTCCAATTCCTGACTCCCTACAGTGGTTTTGACGAAACAAGATGGTTTTTATACTGCCAAGGCCAAGGGCGTAGCTCACGTGGTGAGCTGAAACCTGCGTACGTCACGAAGTGTGGAACATCCAATAGGAAAATTCAACTGCAGTAGCCACCGTTCAACCTGAAGAGGGCAGCACTAAGACGTTTTTACACCATATATTGTAGAAATAGAACACTTTATAAACAAATGTCAAAAAAGTTACTCGAATCAATGACTGGTATTAATAAAGATCCATTCTTACAGATCATTAACTAAAAAAAGTTGGTTTAGTGTTTAGTTAGCCCACTGAAGTGCCTTAAAATGCCCAGCATTATTTTGTGTGTTGATGTTAGTTCCACTGAAACAGAAAGACAGGGTGGGACATATCGATTATCAGCTCCTCCTCTTTTTTAAAATAGCCAATAGAGTTTTGTTTATTTCACAGCTCGGCCAGAACTGTTGAGCCCTGCAAAGCCCCGGTTTCCTCCTAATCTCCTCAATATTGCTTTACAATATAGCATTCTGTGGAGAATTCAAATGGGTCCGATACTTTTTATGGTCTGCACCAACTCACGCATATGATCTGCTCCGTGCCATCGTGTGGATGCTGCGGCGGTTTGCGTGACACTAACGTGAAACCAGACTTCACTCAACTGAAAGCGCTGTCTGAATCGACATTCACCATGTAGAAGAAATGTGTGAACAAGTGAGTTTTAGACGCAGCTTCAGCCTCTATTTGTAGTGTAGGGGGCGGGACGCTTTAGATTTTAGAGAGCATTTGATTGGACTGAAAATTTTGCGAATTTTTGGCACACTAGCTTATAAGGCTAACATTTTCGAACTAAAAGGCAAAAAAACTTTACTAATAGGGACTTTAACAAACATCTTGTTTAAAGCTCGAAAGTTTAATTGAAAATTTAATAAAAAGTGAACCCAGCACATTCTTGAAAATATCTCCTTTTGTGTTCTACTGAAAAAAAGAAAGCCATATGGGTTTTGGAACAACATAAGGGTGCATAAAGATGCCAGAATTTTAATTTTTGGATGAACTTTCCCTTTAATCATTGCACATTGTGGCAAGCGTTGAAAGAAATTGATGCCGCATTAGGAATTTCTCCAAAGTTGCATGGGCTTTCATCCAGTGAAGTAATCCCAACACATTCAGCTCTGGAGGAATGCGTAGATTGGACTGATATGAGAGTTGAAGGGCCGACTGTGCCTCTAGGCCTGTTTGTGCTTCGCTTTAATGGGAATTAGACTGTAGGGAGCTGTGGATGTGGGCAGACTCACTGGCGATGGCTGACAGTGTAATAATAACACCAGTTCACTACAGCTAGAGCTAATGACGAATTGAGTCTGATGAATGTGTTTGAGGTGGGCCCATTTTCTTTCTATGATGATATTATTGTGGTTATTTTTCGTTCCTTTTAAGAAACTCTATAATGTTTGGTGCTGTAGCAGAAAGAGAAGTTTGTCCATGTTTGATTTGGAAGGCACTATTTTTGTTTCTACCCCAAAGGTTACAGTTATGTGATGTCATCTTCCACGCATTTCCATTTGTCAAATCAATGAAATCTTTGTTCCCCTATGACAGCCTCCTGTTGCTCCGCCCACCCTCCCGATGGCCCCGCCCAGCCCGAGCACCAATAGCAGCACCAACAACAGCAGTAGCAGCAGCAGCACGACCGGCTGGGAGCAACTCAGCAAAACAAACCTCTACATCCGCGGGTTACCGCCAGGAACCACCGATCATGACCTTGTCAAACTCTGCCAGCCGTGAGTATTTGCTGTTATGTCATGACAAAATCACCAGTAACTGTCCTGGATGTATGTTCAACCAAATAAATGCAGTTTTTGGTCTGTTTTCCTCTTGGTGTGAGATTCTGCACAGCACAGCAGGGCCTGTTGTCTGTTAACAGCTTGAATGTGTGAGATTGTCAGAATTGGGTCAAGTTATGGGATAAACCCTCATGAGCCCCTGTTTACCCTGCAAACATCCTCCACAATCAGCTTTTTCAAGACTATACTTCTAATAACCAGTTAAAACCACCTCACTCAAGTCAGTGATATCATAGCCTGTCACACGCTCTAAAAAGCAAACATAAGTTCACAACACAATGGAATCAAGACACAACACAACAAAATTTAAAAAAGCAAACATAAGTTCAAAACACAACAGAATCGCCTCAACACAACAAAAGCTAGCACCACATTTTCGCCAAGCAGCAACCTTGCGGTATTTTTCTCGAATCCAACACAAAAGTGACTTAAACTGCAATTCATCGACTGGCCGCTAGAGACATTCTCCAAAAGAAAGTCAATCCCATAGACCCCCATGTTAAAATGCTGTTTTTCTGCCTGTCTGTTAACCATCACGTCACCACAGCTAATCCCTCCTCTCTGCCCATTTTCGGTTATCCGGGAGTGATGCGCTGCCAAGATGGCGACTGCCTGCTCCGAAATTTTGGGCTTCAAAAATGCTCTTCAGAAACCTATGTGTGATGTCACAGACACTACGTCTATATTTTTTAGTCTATGGTTTTCTCTGGCGGTCTGGATGATTTTCACTCACAATCTTCTGCTAATTTCATGAATCGATACATTAAGATTATCAGGATATCAAAACTGAAAAAATATTTTGTTAATTTAACCAGTGATGTGATCAGTGATGTGATGTGATGTGTTTTGTTAATTTAATAAGTGATGTGATATTAATTTGTGTAAACCTGCCAATTACACATATTAAGATCACATCACTTACATAGAGAATCTCTTGTCGTGTCCCGAGAAAATATCAGTTTTTCAGTGCCAACACTGCCCCTTAGTGGTCGGGAGCATTTACGTTGCGTTGTGGCTTGACTCCGTTGTGAACATATGTTTGCTTTTTCATTGGGTTGTGCACTTCTTGGCCACCGTAGTCACATGGTTCTCATCAAGTCAACATGAAATGATGTTCACCATAGATATCCATAATAAAGGCTAGATGTCTCGTCCGCGCTGCTGGCCAATGGAGGTCGACGTCCGCATCTGGCGGCCATCTTGTCACAGGCAGCTCACTCACTTGTAACACTGTTTTAATGGTGCATGTACTTTTTAAATAACCATAACTTGCTTAACCATAACTTTTTACCGATTTTCAAATGGTTTGGTTTGTTATAAACATCAGAGATGTAGTTATGACACTGCATACTTATGACTATTAAGTGTATAAATAAATAATCATACAGAATTATAGCCACGTTAATACCGTGTGTAAGAAACCAAACCGTTTGTAAATCCGTCAAGATTTCAACGAGATAAGAGTATTTGTGTTCGTACTGATCACTCATCTTACATCAGCTTGCCTGTGACAAGATGGCCGACGGTGATGACGATAGAGACTCCATCGTAAGACATCTAGCCTTTATTATGGATATCTATGGTTTTCGCAACCAGTTTTACTTGGAGAAGTCTAATGTGTTCCCAAATTTAATAGGATATTCAACAACAAAACTTTTGTGTAGAAAAATTGATTTTCTCAATTACACTGCTGGATATTGGATACCTCAATCCAATGCCTGATTTCTGCATTTTAGGATTTTAGCAAAATTTTAGCCGGGATGTCTTTCTTTGCTCGTTATTTCAAAAGTCAACCTAAAATGACATTCGAAACTGTTTTACATTCTGGAAGGTGATGTATTTCTGAGTGAAATGGGATGTTCGACAATAAGAATCATAGCTTCCCAGATAGCAAACTGACATTGAATCAACGTGGAAATATGACATCGAAACAACGTTGATCTGACATTGTTTTGCTTATCGAATTAACGTTGAAGCAACGTCAGACGCGTCATTCTTTCAAAACTAACGGAAAATCAGCTTGAAATCAACGCGTTGTTTCAATGTTATGAAAGCAAACCAATTTTCGATTTTTATTTAGATTTGAAGAATGCCGCGTCTGACGTTGGTTTAACGTTAATTCGATGAGTAAAATCAACGTTGTTTCAATGTCATGAGAGACGTTGTTTCCACGTTGATTCAATGTCAGTTTGCTGTCTGGGTTGGGACATGGCTTTATCAACCAGGGATTAATAATAAAGAATAAAGAATTTTGGAGGGAAAAGTAAAAAGTAAATAAAGTGCAAAAGTTCTTATTCACTTTTTCAGCGGCCTTCTAGTATTGTTCCTGCACATTTTTCCCAAAGGTGTTTGTAAAAAAAGTTCTTGGTTAAAGTGGGTGGGAACTACAGAGGCTTCTTTGGGAAATTTTCACCAGGAAAACATGATTATTAATAAAAAATCATTTTAAAAACGCAGGGCAATGGCTTCAACAAAAGCATATACAATCAATCAACAACCTCGGAGCTAACTTTATAGATAGGGTTCTTCTCATTTCATGTTGACTTTTTGTAGTATTTCAAATATTCCGTATTCATTTCGTTTTAGCATTGTAGTTTTAAAATAATTAGATTCTGTTTGTTAATTTTCTGTTTTTAAACTAGAAACCATGAAATTAGATACTTTTAAAGTCAAGTGTCGGGTCGGTTATTTATATATCAGGGCTTTCTCTTCTAGTTGTTCTACCCAGCGTAGAATACGCTTCACGCATCATTTACATTTATTCATTTAGCTGACACTTTTATCCAAAGCGACTTACAATTGCTATATAAGTCAGAGGTCACACGCCACTGGAGCAACTAGGGGTTAAGTGTTTTGCTCAGGGACGCATTGGTGTCTCACAGTGGATTCAAACCCGGCTATCTCACACCAAAGGTATGTGTCTTATCCACTGTGCCATCACCACCCCCCATCACTCTCTAAAACTCAACACACACACACACACACCAATGAGTGTCTGTTTGTGATCCTCTGGTTCATAACAGCCATTCTGCCTGCAGTATTTAGACCAGCAGCCATGATTCAGCAGTTACTGGAGCAGGAAAAGTCACAAGTTCCTTAAATTATTGCTGTTACTGCTGTTACTAATTTCATTTTGCTGAACACAATGGAATATTTGGTCATTTTATTATGGACACCCATCTTCACATCGAATTTCATACGTGTTTATATCGGCGAGAGTGCTTGTTTGTGCAGAGGCTTTCTGATCCCGCATGTATTCCATTGAAACATTCCCAGTGTGGGTTAATTTACCCCTCGCTGCCCCCGGGAGACCAGTCATCACCATGGTAATCCTTCAAATTGATTCGAAAGAGTCAGATGGGGGGGCCCATAATCCTCTTGGCTAGTATTCTAGTTAAAAGTGAAGCTCGGATCATATGTGCATTATAACTATACTCAGTACAGCCGGATTCACGCTTATGATCACAACTGTACATTTTGGTTAAAACTATGAGGAATCAGTCAGCTTTGGGGAATCGCAGTGACACCGTAACCTCGCTTTCCAGAGCCGTTTTAATCACAGAGAGTGACCGTTCATGGCAAAGCCGCGGATTGATTTGCCTTGATCTGCATCAGGCTGAAAAACAGCGTCGCTCTGGGAGCTTCTGACAGAATTCTGCCGGTGGGGGCAGGAAATGGGGCGTCCCCGCTGGAGCGCACGGGTCAAGGCCAAGGTCGCGCGCTCCTCTGGCGCGTGGAGTCTTGTGATCTGTGTGTGAAATGTGATTGGCTCCGCTTTTCCCTCCCTTTTGACATGGCCCAGGACGCGCCCCAAAAATGCTGTTTAGTGTTTGCTTTGCAGCTCTGCTGAACGTCACACTGAATACATATTTATTTGCCTAATCCCCCAAAGTTTTAATGGCACGGGAAGGTGGTTTATAAATATATGAGCGTATTTAAATTTCAGTTTGGAAATGGAGCCCTCGGTGAAGGTGAATGAAAAACAGCCCTTACTCTGTCAGCACTCCTGTCACAGCTCTTTCCTGCACAGCATTCGAGAGGGAGACATCAATAAATCTAAGCCAGCAGAAATGTGAATTTATTTTGGTGTAGCGGTTAGTGTACACTACTGTTCAAATGTTTGGGGTCTGTACGAATGGAAGAAATGAATACTTTGATTCAGCAAGGACACATTAAATTGATCTGACATTGTGCTTTGGTGCTTGTGTGGGCGTTTTGGGTTTGATTCTCATATTTTGTCAAAATCACGTTCCCTCTGTCTCACCGTCCTTTCTCTCAACCATCATTCCGAATGAAAAGTATCAGAATCCAAAATAGCATATTAGTGTACTATTTCTGCAATAGGAATTGAATGACTTGTATTCATTGAATGCTTTTATAACCTACCACATTTGACAAAGGTAAACTGCACTAGGTACAGTATCCCACAATGCAATGCCTCATTCTATTTCCAGTGTGACAAATAAGCCAGATATACTATACTTACTTAAGTCTTTAACATTTAATTAGTCTTAAAAAAAAAAAACATTGTAAAAAATGTATTAACAAATAAAAAATGCTGGACGCCACTTGAAGAATGAAGTATACAACACGATGTGGTCATGTGGCAGCTTTGTAGCATACTACCGTTTAAAATGTTTATAACATAATCTGTTGTCTCACATGCTATTTAAAAAAAAATAACGTGTAAAGATGTGTGAAACCGTATGAATTTATGCTAAGAGAACCGCATGCAGAAAGCAGTGCGCTAGTATGCATTGACTTACTCCAGTGTTTATATCCCTTGCACTGCACCATTACTGGCGAGTTCCTTTCCTCACACACACATGCGTGCGCTGAGACAAGCGTTTCCTTTGAACCGTGGTGATTTGTGCGCTCTAATAACAGGTTTCTCATGGACACTCCATTAAAGCAGCTCAATCCTCATCTGTCCAAAGCACCTGGGCTGTCAGCATCAAGTGTCCGTGGATGATTCTGTCACAAGTAACTCTTTGTTTCTGAATTATATGTGTTTCAAGCTGACTTTAAAAGCTCTTTCGGGTGGTGTTCTTTTTTCCCAGCTCATGGATTATGGTAGATCTTGTGTTTCATGTCCTTCGGGTCGTGAATTCCTGTGCCGTTGTGTCATTTGACACATTGACTGACTCTTTGAGCTGTGCCTGTGTTTAACAACTTCTCTCATTGTCTTTCTCTGTTTTTGTCTGCCTGGAATAGATATGGTAAAATCGTGTCCACCAAAGCCATTCTTGACAAGACTACAAACAAATGCAAAGGTTTGTCATGTAATTTTATTCTTACTTGTGTGTTACCAGGGTCCAAAATGAACACTCTCATATAGGGTTGGGTATCGAGAATCGAGTATCGATTGGAACCGAGACTAACTTTTCGTTTTTCCCGGAATCGTTCAAAAGTTAAAATTTCGATTCCTAGTTTCGATATTCACAGTCCGCCGAGCGGAAGAAGAAACCGCTGAACAACACCAACGAAGAAGCGTCTACCGGAAGTGTTGGCATAATCACGCGAGTCGAACATGAGTACCTTACGTCGGCGATCCAAAGTGTGGCTTCGCTTTTCTAAAAATAACGAAATCTCGGCAAAATGCAAAATTTGTGACAAAAGGAGTATTTTTACAGAAGGAGTATTTCCTTCAGAAAGGATTATTTCCTTCAGAAAGGCCGTTGGTTAGCAAGGTTAGCTAAACTTTTTTGACCCTGCCTCTTAAAAAAATCGGAATCGAGAATCGTTAGGAACCGGAATCGAAACAAGGAATCGGAATCGGAATCAGAATCGTTCAAATTCAAGCGATACCCAACCCTACTCTCATATCATTCAATATAATATATTACGTGGCACAGTAATACATATAATATATAGTATAGAATAGTTCAAATATATGGTACTTTTTGTAACCCTGCGTGTGTTACCGTGGTTATTAGGGATGGGCAACGATTTGTCGCAATCAATCGCATCCAAAATAAAAGTTTGTGTTTACATAATATATGTGTAGTGTGTATAATTAATTTGTATATATAAATACCCACAACATGCATGTATATATTTAAGAAATATGTGCATGTATATATTTTATATATATTTATTCACAATTAATATTAAATATAAATATATATATTTGATATATTAATAACACATTTTTCTGAAATATATACATGCATGTGTGGGTATTTATATATCTAAAATAATTATACACACTACACATATATTATGTAAACACAAACTTTTATTTTGGATGCGATTAATCGCGATTAATCGTTGCCCATCCCTAGTGGTTATACCATGTTTTTTTATTTTTATTCATTTGAATTACCATGGTATTTTTTGAAATAGTACCATATACACTACCGTTTAAAAGTTATGGGTTGGTGAGTTTAAACAAAAAATAATAATAATAAGTCTTTTATGCTCACCAAGGCTACATTTATTTGACCAAAGATGCAGTTAAAACAGTAATATTGTGAAATATTATTACAGTTTAAAATAATTGTTTACTGTTTTAATATATTTAAAATATAATTTATTCCTGTGATGGCAAAGCTGAATTTTGAGCATCATTACTCCAATCAGTGCCACATGATCCTTCAGAAATCATTCTAATATGCTGATTTGTTGCTCAAGAATGTTGAAAACGGTAGTGTACAGTTTTTTTATGCAATTTTTTGATGAATAGACAGTTTAAAAGAAAAGCATTTATTTAAAATGTAAATATTTTGTAACATGTCTATCACTTTAATGCAAATTTTGTCAAAAATAAAAACTCTTACTGACCCCATACGTTTTGAACGGTAGTGTAAATACCATAGTACATCAATATGGTAATAATTTTGTGCCATTGTGTTTGTTTATACTTTGGTTTTATCATCCGATACCATCACTAACTGATCATTGAAAAAAACATGTACACATTGTGAATTTAGGCTAAATTAATCAGAGTTGTTAATTAAAGATTGGTCTATCTTTTTGCTGTAGATTAGTTAGTATGTGTTAATGTATTGTGTTCTCTTCATAGGATATGGGTTTGTGGATTTTGACAGTCCAGTGTCCGCGCAAAAAGCCGTCACAGCACTAAAGACCAGTGGAGTTCAGGCTCAAATGGCCAAGGTGAGTCATCCATTTTTGACATTACTTCCTCTTCCTAAGTGAGGACGATTCAGGAAATGTCAATCTAAAACATTAAAATATAACCTCTGGTGTCTATTCATATGTGTTTCTCCCTCGTTTCCTCTCTTCCACACACATTTCCTGTGTATCTTTGTGCCACAGAGAGAAGTGTGTGTGTAAAAGTCCTGCGGTGACCTTCTCCCAGGTTCTGCCTGCATCTTCAATTTTTAATCTGCCCTCTTTTTCCTCTTCCTCCCCACTGTCAGCATATTACTCTTCCACTTGCCCGTAATGCCTGTGTGTACCGTGTAAACACGTTTGACGCATACATGTTAAGGAATGTTGACGTCTTATGCTGGCCCACCCTCGTTTCTGCTGAGGCATCTGGAATAGCGAGCTGAGATTCTGCCTTCAGCCAATCAAATGTCAGATTGAAATCCAGCTTGTTGTGTATCGTGTGTCCTTGTTAGCTGAGAGCGTACAGAATTGTATTGCGGCTTCACAAAGTACTTATGCACCACATCACAGCATAAATAGACGGAGAGTATAAACCGCCTGAAGGTCTCACCCTTGAGTCACTGGACACATGATTCTATACAAATCGAAAAATGAATGAACAGATGGTGTGTAGCTTATTGTTACTGAAGAAGAATAGAATTGCTATGCATCATGATATCTGCACTGATGTATATATGCTGGTTTCGAGCTTATTCAGACGACCTGCTTCTTTATTATTTGAACTGTAGAATGAACGACTAAATTATCAATAATATGTTCCCAGATAGCAAACTGACATTGAATCAACGTGGAAATATGACATCGAAACAACGTTGATCTGACATTGTTTTGCTCATCGAATTAACGTTGAACCAACGTCAGATGCGTCATTCTTTCAAAACTAACGGAAAATCAACTTGAAATCAACGCGTTGTTTCAACGTTATGAAAGCAAACCAATTTTCGATTTCATTTAGCTTTGAAGAATGCCGCGTCTGACGTTGGTTCAACGTTAATTCGATGAGCAAATCAACGTTGTTTCAATGTCATGAGAGACGTCGTTTCCACGTTGATTCAATGTCAGTTTGCTATCTGGGTTTTATGTAATCATAATAGCGTTTCCGCTTATCCTTGAGTGGTAGTAGTCGCTAAAAGGCTTATCATTTAATGCTAGCATGCTAATTGCCTCAATATGCAAAGGTTAGATTGTATGCCAAAGGGAAGTTAATTTGACCATTCATTGTTTCAGTAATATATGCTATGTGACAATTTAAATACTTTGTACATTAACATGATGTAGGATTAAGACAAAAACAAGTGTTTTTCTATCATTGTAAAATGTTTAAGCCACCAAATTATCCATAGCTAATCAGTCCACACAATTCTAGTCTATCAGGCTAATACCCTAACAATACGCTAGGTTAGCTTTTAAGAGGTTTTTAAAATATATAAAATGACAAATGTTTAATTTGACTATTTATAGTTTCATTTGGTGTAATTTAAAATACATTTACATTTTATGATTATGTCTAAATGCAATGTGATTTTCTATCATTTTTAATTTCTTAAGGCCCCAGATTAATCAGACATTGATGGTTAACTCTCTGATTATCTTCATTTGTGTCTACACTAGTTATCTTTGGGGTCTCCAGGGACCCTAGACAATAATTTTGTAACAGAATTAAAGGTTTTTCTTTCTTTTTTTTATTTTACTTTGCTTATTAATGTTTTTAATCAACATTTGTACAGTTTTTAGAAGATTTATGATATCTTTTAATTTCTATAAATTTATTTAAATAGGCTTTTTACAAAAAAAAAAAAACGACAACAACAGTATTTTATGTAAAATTCACTTTATAAAAGACTCAGATTTATAACTTTCATTCATGGAGATAACATGGATATAATTTTACATGGTTTAATGTAAGATTTTTGGCCATTTTTTTGGAAAATGCAGTTCAAAAATACAAACAAAAAAATAAAACCACTAGATGGCTATAGAGCTCTACGATATGCTATTTGCTATTTGACAAATCAAAATATATCTTTTCACTAGCTTTTCTAGTTGGATTCATATCTAAATACTATAAAATCACAAAAAGAGTATATAATAAAAAGTTTAGCATTTTTTGTGCTGCCAAAAGTTTTTCAATAATGTTACATTATGATTAGAATTAATGAGCAAGATGTTACAAAGAGAAATGTTGGAGTCTTTAGATTTTATCATTTATCTCAATCATCTGTTTTTAATATAATTCTACCATTTTAATCAACATTTCAGTTACTAACCATAACAGAACAGAAATGATCAGTTATATTATATATTGAGTAAAAAAAATGCAATGAACTGAACAGCATGATAAAATAGAGCAGTAAAAAAAAAATTAGTTAAACAGTGAATGGGGTAAAAAAATCGAATTACTTGGAACAATAATTGGTGGTCTTATCTCATACAGTCTCGTTTATAGTGCACTGCAGGTGTTTATGCGTCATTGCACTGCAGGCAGTATGCATAGTATAGCCTTACAAATGTATTCCTGTGTGAGAGTGTGTGTGTCTGTGCGCATTGTGGATGTTTTTTGTATTGTTGGAAGTGTGGCACTTTATTTCTGTCTATGTGATCTGCGTTGTTTCTGATTGTTGATGATGGATTTTGTATATTTCTATGCAGGGTCTCCAGGGACCCCGAAGACAACTAGTGTCACTATTTTTTTCACACTAACATAAAAACAGATATCATTCCAATTTTCTTTTCTTTTTTTTTTTTGGTAGATCTAGAAAGTGTTTTGAGCTGTAGAAAGTTTCATACCATTTGGACAAAGAGAATATCTTTGAGTAAATTTGAGTAGAAGTCATTTGCGGGTTAAAAAGACCCCGAAGATAAACGCTAACAGGCTAGTCATCTCACAGTATGCTAAACCAATAATTAGTCAGCAGTATTTAAAGTTAGCAGGCATTAAAAACATAACTAACATTAAAGAACTTAAAATAAAAATGTTTCATCTGACCATTAGTTTTGGTAAATGTGATATGTGACGTAATTTAAGTACTTTTTTTTTATTTAAAGCGCCAAATTAATCAAATATAAACAGCTAAGCTAGCAGGCTGATCAGTTTTCTATGCTAGCTTGTAACTGGAAAAAAATAGAATGACAAATGTTTCATTTGATGATTTATAGTTTCTGTATGCATTATGTAATGTCATGGTTAAGAATATATACACCACAACGTGATGTTTCTATCATTTTTAATTTTTAAGGCACCAAATTAATCAGGCACAGATAGCTAAGCTAGCAGGCTAATCAGTTAGCAGGATATCAAGCATGCAGGCCATCCATTAAACTCAGCATGAAACGGAAGTTGCAAAAGTCTTTTCATCTCTATTGTGATTAGAGTGAAACAGCTTTAGGAATGAGAAAAATGTAGGGCAGGATTTGATTTCGTCCTTCGGGAATTGATTGGATCGTAGTTGGGCATTTCTAACTAAATGGAAGCAGATCTGAATGCATGTTTGCAATCAGTTGTGGAGGATATTATGTTGTGAGACATACATCATGTAGAGAACAGATGTCGTGTCTAGGGGAAAGGGAGGTTAACGCTTTTGATTAAAGATTATGAGTGCATATTAATAAAAATAACAATAATGATGTGTATGGATAAATCACTTATAATAAGGACTGCAACATTTTGTAAATACATTTACATTTCACAGTGATTTTAACCATGCTAAGCCAGCAGGCAAATCGTCTAACAATATGCAACGGTTAGCATTTAAGCTAAATAAGTAGCTTTTATACATGTGCTTTAAAAAAAACATTACTAGTGTGCTGTGTGTTTGTTGAGACAAAACAATGGCAGTTCAATTCAGTTAAAACAGATCAAACATGCATTTTTGTCTGTTGTCTGTAAAACCGGGGGGTAGTATGCTAAGCTAGCAAGATAATCAGTTACCAGGGGGCTAAGCTAACAGGCTAATCGCCTAGCAGTCGGTTTAGCTAACAGAAAAATCTTATGACAACATTGCTTTGACCATTACATGAAGTACATAAAGGTCTTTGGTCCTCATAGTGGCTATAATGTCGGCTGAATAGACATATTAAGAATGGTTAATTACGTGTAATATCTTGTTTTCTATATACAGCAACAGGAGCAGGACCCGACTAACCTGTACCTGTCCAACTTGCCCGTGTCTATGGATGAGCAGGAGCTAGAGAACCTCCTCAAACCCTTTGGACAGGTCGTGTCCACCCGAATTCTCCGCGACCCTAATGGAGTTAGCCGGGGAGTGGGCTTTGCCAGGTTAGTGAGGCTACTGATTTTGTGTGTGTATGTGTGTGTTCACATGTGAAATGGGGCCAGATTTACACCGTTCATGGATGTGAATGTTTTGTGAAATTTTCTGTCTTTATTCCGCTGTATTTCAAGGATGGAGTCTACAGAGAAGTGCGATGCCGTGATCTCTCACTTCAACGGGAAGTTCATTAAGTCCTCCTCTGGGATGCTGGGTGAGTATTCAGCACAATATTCTTGTGGTGTAGTCTATATGTAAGCTACACACTGTAAGCTTTATAGTCTTTTTCTTTAGTACTGTTAAGCTAAGCATGTGTGTGTGTGTGTGTGTTTTAGGTGCATCAGAGCCTTTGTTGTGTAAGTTTGCTGACGGCGGTCAGAAGAAGAGACAAAGTCAGGCTAAATATGTCCCTAACGGACGAACCTGGACACGGGACGCTGAGGTGAGACTAGTAAGTCCTGTTCACTATTGCGTTTGTGTGCTGTGCTGACGGTGACGGCAGGTGAATGGGTGTGTATTTGTGCCTTGAAGCAAAATGAGCCATTCTTACATGACTTCAGACGTCATCATTCGTTTGGTTTCCAACTATTGTACTATGGGCTAATTAAATATAACTGACAAATATTAAGTGTCAATTGTATAGTGAAACTGGCTTTATGTGTATGAAACCAGCTGTGGTCAAAACCAATTTTTATTTTACTTTCTTTAGAGTGGAATGACCTTGACCTATGACCCCAATACCACCCTTCAAAATGGGTAAGAACAGCTTAAACGTGTCTTCAATTTATTTTTCACATTTATTTTATACGCTATTCTACAGAGCCCAGCAAATGACATGCGGAAAAAAGAATTTGTAGTTAATTCCCTTGTTTTAGTTTAATCATTTCCATGTTGTACTCATTTTTATTTAAACTGTGATACATTTATAACATGGCCAAATTGTATTTAATTTGTTCCTTCATTTTAGTTAAACTGTGGCTACTGTGGCTTCGTTCCCTAGTCTTAGTTCAGTCATGGCCACGATTTATCTAAATTAAAACCAGTAAACGAATTAGTTCGTTTATAAAGTTAAAGTTATGGATTATTTTTCTTATAAAAAAGCATCTCTTCGCTTCAGAAGGCCTTTATTAACCCCTCGAGCCGTATGGGTTACTTTTATGATGTGTTTTTTTGGTGCTTCAAAATCTCAATTACTATTCAGGAAATGTTTTAATATAACTCTGATTGAGTTTCATATACAAGAAAGAAAGTCATATACACCTAGGATGGCTTGAGTGTGAATAAATTACTGGATAGTTTTCATTTTTGGGTGAACTAAGCCTTTAATACACTGTTTTTCCTCAGATGTACGTTGTGCAATTGCCATTAAATAGTTAAATGATGTGTAAATGTCCCTCATAAATATTGTATCCTGTGTTTTTATAGGTACTATGCTGCTCCTTATGCTATGGGGAACCGGTTAATGGCTCAGCCAGGAGTGTCTCCATACATCTCTACATACCAGGCACTGCTCTTCTTCACCTCCCTCAACTTCACAGTCACGTTGTGTCTATGTGAGTGTTTCTGACTAGCACCTGCTTTCTTGCTAACATCTGCGTTTGTGTCTCCAGGTACAGAATCCTTCATGGATGCAACATCAGCCTTACATCATGCAACACCCAGTAAGTTATGCTCACTTTTTTTCTTTCATCTCTTTATATCTCTCCATTTATTCAACAGGAGATGACTCACAACCAATGCTGCTTACACATAAGTCAGAAAGACGTGTGTGTGTGTGTGTGTGTGTGTGTTTATACAATATTTCCTGTTTTTGCCTTATTGTGGGCAGAATTTCTCTGTTATTAAGTGCTGGATGTCTCGCTCTTTATCAGCAATGGTTAAATATAATTGTTGTATTGTGTTTTTTTGACTCAGGGAGCCGTTCTGTCGCCCTCTATGGAGCATCCCATGTCACTGCAGCCGTCCGCTATGTTGGCTCCCCTCACCCAGCAGATGGGCCATCTCTCTCTGGGCGGCACTGCGACCGTATGATCCTATCACACAGATTGCACTAATATGGCACAGGCGTATATGCTAATTAATAAGTAATATTAACACCTGTGTTTTTAATAAAGCCACATAATTCTTTTCTCCTGCAGTTTATTCCTGCCAACACAGCAATGCCAGGAGCTTACATCCCTCAGTACGCCCACATTCAGCCCGCTGCCATCCCTCCTGAGGTCAGTCCTACACTCCGGTTATCAATGACAGTATAATCAGCATTTATACCAGACTTCTATAGTTTTCTGTATTGTTTTCTGTATTGTCAAGATGCCTGTACAAATTTAGTTGATCTTGTTTTCAGAGAATGAAATTACATTTTTTTTTCTTCTACTTGACGGGCTTTATTTTTGCTACCAAATTATAAGCATAAACCTTGTAATTTGTATTTACAATACCATTCAAAATGTTGAGGCTGGTAAGATTTGTTGTGTTTTTGAAAGTCTTAGTTTTTATTATATATATATATATATATATATATATATATATAAATTAATTATTGTGATGCAAAGCTACATTTTCAGCATCATTACATTACATTATAAATATATTTACAATCACTTTTGATCAACTGAATGATTATATTATACTATAATATATTATATTACAAAAAGTAAAGATTAAGAAAGATGGACTTTAAGAAATATTCTCTGGAAATGACTCTTTGGGCCCTATCTTGCACCCGGCGCAAATGACTTTGTACATTAACGCATGTATAATTCCTATTTTGCACCCGCGCAAATCGGGATTTTCCCTCCACAGACGCACGTCGGTAAACTAGGGAATGAACTTTCGCTCCCTGGGAAGGTCAGCGCAAAAAGGAGGCGTGTTTTGGCGCAAACATTCCCTATTTTACACTTCCAGAACACAATTGCATCACTGACCAGAAAAAAACTAGTCTAAAGTCAGTGGGGCGTTACGCATTATTCATATTGCTATTTTAAGCGTGCATGCTTGGACATAATTTAGTGGGTGCACAACGCGCATACACTTTGATTCTCTCATCAACACAGATGCAGCAGTTTTTATTTTTGCAAATCATACATTAAACAAGGAAAATATGAACACATGAGGGAAATCATTGTGGTGTCCATGAAGATGTAAAAAATGTAGGCCTAAATCTAGCTTACACATTTACCCACATTTTTCAGGTTAATTGTAGTAATGATGGATCAGACCTGTTTGCCCAATACTGGCAAGACACATATGTATATAAGGATATCTGACAAATTAGTTTGAACTCTCATCCCCATACAACGTCAGTTCTCTGTCTTTCACTGCCCTGACAAGAACGTCGGTCTCCTTGGCTGTGAACGCTCCTGGTAAATTCGCCATAATAATAACAATCCGCCATGCAACATGCACACCTTCTCTTAAAGGGTAACTAAACCCCTGGTCAGAGCCTGACTCCACCCACTGGCAATATTTGAAAATGCTGAAAAAGTGGGCAGACCCCAGCGGAGATAGAGGGGACGAAATAGATGCTAAAACACTCTATCCTGATCGTTTTCAATACTCACAATTCCAATTCCTGACTCCATACAGTGGTTTTGACGACACAAGATGGTTTTTATACTGCCAAGGGCGTAGCTCGCGTGGTGAGCTGAAACCTCTGTACGTTACGAAGTAGGGAACATCCAATAGGAAAATTCAACTGCAGTAGCTACTGTTCAACCTGAAGAGGGCAGCACTAAGACGTTTTTACACCATATATTGTAGAAATAAAACACTTTATAAACAAATGTCAAAAAAGTTACTCGAATCAATGACTGGTATTAATAAAGATCCATTCTTACAGATCATTAACTAAAAAAAGTTGGTTTAGTGTTTAGTTACTCTTTAAAGGGTATGTTGGATGACGCTCTGATTGGTTTATTTCACGTTACGCCCAAACCACACCTATGAATAATGCAGCTATTTCAGACCAACCCCTTTTAAAATTGCGTCGGGCGCAAGAGTCATTTATCCCGCTGGAAAAATAGCAACAGCGCTCAAAACCCTCCCACAAAGTTACTTGCGCTTCGCCCTTGATAATTGTATTTTAGCTTAGATTGTTATTATTATTATTGGAGAACCACACAAAATATTGAAATAAATGTTGAAATGTATTTGGTTTTTTTTGTTTTGTTTTTTCAGCAGGAAAATGGTGTACAGCCACAAGATGTGTCCTCTTCGGATCCTTCATCATACTCTTTTCAACCCAACAAGCAATAAAATGGTATTTGATTTTCATCTTTTCATTCTTGTGGTGGTCAGTGTTCTGTTCACTCCCTCTCACGTTCTGTCAAACCCATATGACCTCCTTTCTTCTGTGAACACAATAGGTTGTAGTTGTAGAATGTTGACGGTGCTCTTTCCTATACATTGAAATCCCATTCACTGGGAAAGCAGTAGTCTAATGGACGTCAAAACCTTGTTCATTCCACATTTAAATGAGATTTTAGAGATACAGCAGTTCAAATTTAATACAAAGCCATTTTGTGTCTTCAAAAGACTAGGAATACACTACACAACTCTTATGTGCTATTTTTATGGTACTTTTTGGCATTTTGGGTCTTTGAAAGCCCTGTCAACGTTAGTCTCGCATAGCTAGACTTTCAGACTGATGGAGTCCATCAAAGCTTTCATTGGCCAAGGACCGCTCAAGAGGACACCTGACTGACATGTAAAGCAACCAATCACAGATTGTTTTGTTCAGCGTCATGTTTAGAAGCGTGAAAATGTAAAGTCGATGTCCTTACAATACAGGAAAACTCTTGGATATATTTTAAAGAGTCTACGGCATAAACTTCACATGCTTCACATACTTCATATATCCAGCATTTAGTTTATCATGATAAGCACTCATTTGGTACAGTTGTAAACATAACGGCTTCCTTCTTCCATGAGGGGGTTTGGCATCACGGCGACTTTGTTTCCAGACGGACCGCTAAAGAACGCGAAAAATCCTGTAGAATTCATCCAATCGGATGACGACTGTCGTATGTTTCATTTTTTGTGTGCCATATGCATTTCTGGAACCGTCTGAGATTGAGAATGTCGACATTAAAGCGGTGGTTCGGGATTTTGGACATTGGGCCTCATTTCCAAGTGAGCCTTAGTGTTATTTATCAGTGGAGACAGTTTAAAAAAATTTCATCCAGTCTTCCCAGTTGGATAGTTCGCCGGTCCTAGGCTAGCGCGAGTCAACGGTATCTTTTTCCATGCCATTAAACAAAGTTTTATCCACTCCACAGTACACCAAAAGCAAATCAATTATAACGCCAGACTATCAATGTAAGTATCTGTTGAGAGAATAATGTTAGACATCAAACTACCCTTTCATCGCATTGCAATAGTTACATTGTTTTACCTATATTTATTAGCACGGTCTAGTTACCTAGGCAACCGAGAGAGCCGGTCCACGTGACAATCACGCAATTGTATTTACCTGCCGCTGACACTCATCACTACAGAAACAGAGTATAATTTATGATATATGTAATAAAAGGACTGGTACAGTGCACATCTCCTTTATTTCCTTTGTAGATAACAACAACATAATGTATTGCTACACGACAAATAAACAACTTTAGTGGATTGTAAAGACAATACGACTACTATGTTTGACAGACTGTTTGACCAATTAAAAAAAAAGCTATACTCTTATTACACTATTATTGTCACTCTACACAACGCATTGAACGTTACGTATTGTCCACTAACGTTGTCAATCTATCAGTTATGAAAGGGCTAGCTTCATTAGCTAGCTAGAGTAGCCTAACAAAATATTACTTGTGCATCTGAAAAGACGGCTGAAACTGCATTCCTTGTCATAAACCTATGACCGTTTCGATTAAATGGTTCTTTAAAGGGTAACTAAACCCCTAGTCAGAGCCTGACTCCACCCACTGGCAATATTTGAAAATGCTGAAAAAGTGGGCAGACCCCAGCGGAGATAGAGGGGACGAAATAGATGCTAAAACACTCTATCCTGGTCGTTTTCAACACTCACAATTCCAATTCCTGACTCCATACAGTGGTTTTGACGACACAAGATGGTTTTTATACTGCCAAGGGCGTAGCTCGCGTGGTGAGCTGAAACCTCTGTACGTTACGAAGTAGGGAACATCCAATAGGAAAATTCAACTGCAGTAGCTACTGTTCAACCTGAAGAGGGCAGCACTAAGACGTTTTTACACCATATATTGTAGAAATAAAACACTTTATAAACAAATGTCAAAAAAGTTACTCGAATCAATGACTGGTATTAATAAAGATCCATTCTTACAGATCATTAACTAAAAAAAGTTGGTTTAGTGTTTAGTTACTCTTTAAAGTCATCTGGTCTAAAATGATCACTGCAAATCCTCAATTTTTGTTAGAGTCTCTGCCGGTGTCTCCTTGTCCAAGCCCGCAGAAATAATCCAAAATTGACTCCTTTCTGGATCTTCAAAAGGAAATTTGTGAAAACTTTGTGATGAACATTTTATTAGGTTTGTTCTTGCAATTGCGAAATGCACACCGAATCACCATGTTGCCTTTGTTTACCTCAATAATTATTACTAAGCTAGCTAGACATCCCGACTTTCATGTGCTTCTGTTCTGTGTTTACTTTTTGACACAGTAACGTTACTACTAACCGGAGCAAAGTAAAATTCTGCCACTGCTGAGAAACTAGTTCCTGTAAATGTAATGCAATCGTTGAGATAAAAAAGGATAGTTTGATTTCTAACATTATTCTCTCAACAGACACTTACATCGATAGTCTGGCGTTATAATTGATTTGCTTTTGGTGTACTGTCGAGTAGATAAAACTGTTTTTAATGGCATGCTAAAAGATACCGTTGACTCGCGCTAGCCTAGCACCGGCGAACTATGCAACTGGGACGACGGGATGAATTTTTTTTAATACTGTCTCCACTGATATATAACACTAAAGGCCAATTTATACTTCTGCGTACGGTACAGTAGTAGTAGGTACGGCGTAGCATACGCACATATGCGTACCATACCGCGTTCCCTTCGCACCTCCTCAAAAATATAACTACACGTCACAACGACGCGAACCACAAGATGTGTGATTGGTCGGCTTGGTAGCATCGCATTTCCTCCTACGCATTTCCGCACGTACCATCTCCTCCGACGTCTTCTCTCATTTCTGCCTTTTAGTTTTAGTAATTTCACTAAAATTCACTGTTTTCCCGCCTCAATAAGCTCCAACATGATCTACTTTCTTTCAGTCGCCATTGCTTGTAGTAATCATAGATATTTATATAAAGGCTAGATGTCTCACGGCGGAGTATTTATCGTCATCACCGGCGGCCATCTTGTCACAGACAAGCTTTCTGGCGGGCTCTGTGGTATCTGATGTAAGAAATACTCTTATCTCGTTGAAATCTTGACGGATTTACAAACGGTTTGGTTTCTTACAAACGTTATTAACGTGGCTATAATTCTGGATGATTATTATTTATTTATACACTTATTATTCATAAGTATGCAGTATCATAACTACATCTCTGCCATTTATAACAAACCAGACCGTTTGAAAATCGGTAGAAATTTGAGCGAGTTGCGGTGATTTAAAAAGTACATGCACCATTAAAACAATGTTACCAGTGAGCGAGCTGCCTGTGACAAGATGGCCCCCAGGTGCTGACGTCGACCTCCAGTGGCCAGCAGCGCAGACGAGACATCTAGCCTTTATATAGATATCTATGGTAGTAACCTAGCCGCGAGAAATCTAAACACAGTGGAACATTAAAACCATCCGCCGCCAACTAGCGTTTCGGAGCAGTACTGCAGAGCAACCAAGACCTGAACGCAGAAGTATAAATAAGCCTACGTGCGTAGCCTACCCTCGATGCAGAAATATAAATTGGCCTTAAGGCTCACTTGAAAATGAGGCCCGATGTCCAAAATTCCGAACCACCCCTTTAACTCTCTAGGAAGTACTACAAAATCATGACTTTTTGTTTTGCTGAAGAAAATGTGTCTTTTTTTGGAGGAGCTATTCAATTTAACCGAGTCTTAAAATGATGTTGAGTTGACTAGTGTTGTTTTTTTGTTTCAGGTTCTGAAATCAGAGCCAGGCTACCGTACGAGCCGTTGCTACGGTAACAACGTTTGCTTTCTCTTAGAGGAAGTGACATCAGAGAGGAAGCGACGCTCGCGCACGGGTTCCGGAAAATTTCGTCCACGATTTAATCATCTACTAAAAGAGATCAACAAGAAACCTCAGAAAACTCTTGTGCAAACATTTTCTCCAACAAATCAAGACAAGGCAATATCACATCAACTATGGACAACAAAAGGGAGCAGAGTTTTATTTTGCTAGAAAGAGGAAGGAGAAGATGACAAATGCTTATTTTTTACCAAGAACTTTTAACACAGACCATGTCTGTGAGTAACAGTGAGTGATGATGATGATGATGATGACACCTTTCGATGCATGATGTTTTTTTTAAATATGGTTTTTATTATGTTTTTACGGACTGTTTCTCAAACAGACAAAAGAAAAAAAATATGCGGTTGCAGTCGAAATGAAGAGGTTTCTGTTTGCTTTTTGGTCTTCCACTCTTTGCCTTTTTAGTAGTTCAAATATTTACCTTTTAAATGGTGGGTGGGGTTTAGACAGACTGATGCAATGCTTGCTGGCGATTGGTTCTTGCTCCTGTTTCTCAAAGCAATGGCTTTCCCGTTTCCTTTTTTAATGTTGCTCTGAATCAAACATGATTTGTTTCATAGATTGTGTGGGTCTTTCTTTCCATTGAATTCATGTGTAAAGTCTTTCGGTAGATGTAGAAGTGGGTGTTGAGATGAGGGTGGGTGGGGTTTCGTGGGAGGCGGGGCATGTGTGGGTGTGGTTAAGATCACTAAGGGATGTGGGCGGGGCTAATAAAAGGGATATTATGGATTTGTGAAAGTTGACATTTTCCCATCTGTTCAAAGGATGATTGCGATTTTTTTATTTTATTTTCAGCGCCGTTTTTTTAATTTATTTTATATTTTTTCTTTCATTTTTTTTTTGTTTTACACATCAGGATTTCTTTGATGCGCAGATTAAAGGCAGAAGTGCAATGTTTCTTTAGGTAGAAAACAATATACAAATTTAACCAAATAGTTGAGGCCTAACAGATTGTAAGCATACGATTTTTTGCATATAATGCATTTCGGAATAAATAATGTAAAACGTTCAATTTAATAAATAAATAATTTAATAAAAAAAAAAAACATGCAACTTCAAGGCAACTATCACAACTTCCACCAAAGACATTTTCTGCCTGCTATTGAACACAATAGTATGGACTACTGCAATAGGTTTTGGTCAAACTGAATGGTAGTTTGTGTCTTTTGCGTCAATCTCAGCTTTAATCTAGTTTTCGTAGGTGTGGACACATGAACATCTCTAAGCAGTTGGATGGAGGGAAGACTTGATCGCGGGTTCATAACATGGTTGTAAACAAGGCTTTCATCTGTCTGTCTTACAGTTAGTTAAGCAGATTTCTGTGTGTCTGTGTGTGATTGTGTATTTAGATGTCCAGGTCAGCTTGGCCTTTGATCTACCTCAGAGTTTTATCTGTTGTCTGATTGGTCGGGCTGCAGGTCTATCCTGTCCAATCAGATGTAAAAGCGCCAGCTCAGGAGCTGGTGTCATGCAGAACTTCATCTTTAATGCGTCTATTTGTCCTCCTCTTTAAAGAAACATCTATGTTTTGTATCTGTATGTTTTTCTGTTGGTGTTTTTTTTTTTTTTTTTTTTACATTTCATTGAGATGTTTTGAGCTTAATTGTGTGGAGATTTTTTTATGTTCTTCTTTTTTTGTTTGTCCATTTTATTCCTGATAGGTGCAGTAAAAAGAGAGGCTTGTATAATTGTTCCTGCGTTTGTTTCTTTCATTTTTTTTCTTTCAAAAATTCATGTAAACTACCTTCTCTGGAATTTTTTCACTTTGCTGTAGCCTCTCCATGTTTAGAGGCCTAATCTGAAGAACCAAAGTTAAAAATGATCATGGTGACTAATGTGTGTCAAAAAGCAGCACATCATAATTTCATTGGACAGATAGAGTGTCTTTATTTCAGTCAAAGTAGACGTTTCAGCAATCATTCATCCAGTGTATAAATACAGGACTGTTGTTGAAAATATTAATCTTTAAATTTGTTTGAATGAACACCTGCCACTTGCACATCCAGGCTTTTTCGTTTGTTTTTATTTCTACATTTTTTTCTGTTGTGAAAAGATTTTTTTTAATTAAAAGAGCTCAAACTTGTGTTTTTGAGTTTGGTTTGCAATCCTGTGATTTTTTTTTTGGGACCTGGGCATATTAGGCTACCACATGTTTAACTTGTTAAGAGAACAAACTAATTTTATTGGAAATTCTTAATTGTCTTGAAAACAATATCAGTCATGATATTTATCATAATCTGTAGCAGCTTTATTATTAAAAACAGCTTTATCAATTCGTATTTTATTGGTACACTATCGAATACACTTCTTCTTTGCTAATAATAACCCAACAAAATGATAGGCAGTGCAATAAATAAATACATAAAAATATTCCAAATCCTCACTTTACCTAAACACACTTTGAAAAACCTATTAATGATTTATATGTTTGAGTTGTCGGGAGGTATGTGGCGGGAAATTGTATGCATACGTCATTCCCCCGTGCAAAACGCCATATCCATCCTTACTGAGAAAAGTAGGTTTAATTTGAAAAGTTTCTTCAAAACCTTTAAAATAATGCCCTACTGACATCCGTAAGTGGTGTTCTAGGCCATACAAAACCAATATATATTTAGAATGTGTCTTTGGGTGTTTCCTGATAATATTCAGTGTAATATCAAAAGACTAGATCAAATTCAGTTTATGTAGCTGTAAATGTCTGTGGACGAGGGGTTCATAAAAAATGTCGTGTGTCTGTGTCCACAATCTGTTTTCAAAAGCAGATATATTTATTGGACTTCCGTTTTTTTCTCCACCTTCAGCCCTACTAAAAGTGGAACCAAGACCAAAATATCAGATGGGGCAATTCGTATTCTTTCGACTTGAGTAAGCAACCCCCGAGCAACATGCTAAAAAGATCACCGAAAACCCTAGTAACTGGGTAAAAGTGACAATCATTCATCCTTTTTTTTTTTTTTTTTTAAATAAAATTTAGTAATTAAAGTCGTAAATCGTTTTTGAGGATTGTCTTACTAGTATTGGCCACCAGATGGCGTTATAGTTTAGGCCACAAAAAGTTGGCCTATCAGCTCAACTCGCACACATCTTTAGCATTTTTGTCGTTTGCCTTGATTTGAACTGTACTGCCATATTAAGTAGGCTACATTTGCATTAAGGCCTATATTTAGATAATATACATTTGGCAGTCATCTCTTTGGAAGGTCACTTTGCACCTTTTTAGCTGAGCGGGGCCTTCCCGATGGGCCCTTTGTAATATCAGCCTGCTGGGTTTTATCATAAATCCAGGAGATTATGTCTAAGACTCACAGGCACCTTGCATATGTCTCTCTCTCGCACTGTGTGTGTGTGTGTGTGTGTGTTTTCCACTGTCTAATTGCCACAGCCTCAAACTCTAATCTAAGAAAGCTACGGTAGTCCTCTTCCTCTGTTTCTAATTCAATCACTCTCCTTTTCATTGTCTTATTGTTTCTGTCAGATTCTGGCTTATTGATCTATATTAATGACAAGTTCACATTTAATAGCAGCATAGGCTACACCTGTCTTTTCCCCTCCCCCTAGACAGCTGAGAGGACACACACCCTGTATCCTGGAGGGAGTGTGAAGGTTAGGTGCATATATGTGCGAGTGTGTGTGTATGAACATGTCTGTGCTTGAACTTGTGTGTGTGTTGCATTGATAGGAGATCTTTTTCAATCTAAATACCGACATCACCACCACCTGTCAATCAAAACCCACACGCTGAATCCCACGATGGAAAGAGACTTTTTGTGGCGTTGTGTAGCTTTACTTTGAGGGCAAAATATTCCCCAGTAGTCTCTGCTTAAATTAATAAACATGCCATTAAAATGAACAAATAAAAATAATTAATTAATTAAATATCATTAAATAAAGGTAAAACTTATTCAAAAAAATGTTTCTTTAAAAACAATTTAAGACTGGTGCATTCTCATTTATCAAACTATTAATGTCCTCACAAACATAGTAAAATGTGTCAAAAGCTGTCTTGTGAGGACATCTGAAGTGGTCTAAATAAAAGTAATAAAGTTCATTGTAAGAGCATTACCTTACTATGTAACCATAGCGTTTCTAACAGATCTTGTTAAGTCTCACTCTCTGTGTGTGTTTGTTTGAAATAGTGCAACCACAAAGCTCTCGCTGCCCACATTATTTTCCCTTTGACTTTATATAAAAGAGACACTTTCCCTCTGTGTCTCTCATTCGCTCTACTTTCTCTCTCTGTTTCTCTGTGTTCCTTCATATTTCAGTGAGGAAGAATGAGTGAATCTGTGCCATTCATTTCCGGTGAGTCCAACACACACACACACACACACATTGTGGGGACTTTCAACTAACTTCAGTTGTTTTTATACTGAGCTGATGATGTTTTTCAATCTCTTAACCCTCACAGAAACCTTTCTTTTTTTAAAAAAAGTTTTTATTATTATGTGATTTAGTATCTTTACAATGCCATGTTCCTCATGAAACCCTTGGCTGATGAGTCGATTCATTTTTGTGGGACAAAATTGTCTGGAATAAATATTCTATTTAACATTGATTTCCCAAAGTATAAAAAAAACGTGCGTATATTCACACATAGTGGACATGTCAAGACCAAACAAAAAAAGCACCTGACACTGTTGGTGGATTTTACTTGCCACAGAATCAGTTTCGCTGCCTGACAGACAACAGAAAACACCCCCATTGACCTACATGCTGTGCACACACACATTCAACAAAATCTATAGTCACACATGGCCATTTGGCCTGTTAGTCTCTCTCTCTCTCTCTCTCTCTCTCTCTCTCTCTCTCACTAATGAAGAAGCTTCATGCTGTGTTCATGAATGTGTGTGTGTAGTCTTGCAGTTGCTGCTGTCATTCATGCAGAAAAGTGTGTGTGTGTGTGTGTGTTTGTATGTGTGAAAGAGAAAAGGGGGTGAGGAAGGGAGCGCAGGCGTCATGCTCCATAAAACCATTGTGATAGTTTCAGCGTACTATTGCTTCCGACTCAGCCGGATAGACATTCACACGCTCCGGTATCACTCTATCCCACTTGCTGCTATTGCTTTTGGTATTGAGAGAGAGGACAGCATGCTAGCTGCCGAGGCCTCCAGGGGTGAGTTACTCCATTCTAATACATCCAAAATTAAACAAAGTTAAAGTGTATTTAACTCTTGGGCAGGTTAAAAAGTTAAAAATCACACACACACATACAGCCAATGTCAAATGTAAGACAAATGTGTAGGATATCATAGATTAGGACAGTACCTGTAGGATAGGATAGGATAGGATAGGATAGGATAGGATAGGATAGGATAGAGTAGATGCGATGGGATGGGAATGGGATAGGACAGGAAGGGATATACAATATGATAGGGTAGGAAAGGATATGTTAGGATAGAATGGGATATGGGATGTATTATAGGTTAGGATAGGACAAGATGTGGGTTATGGGATATATGTTATTGTTAAGATAGGATTGGATATATAACAGGATAGGATATAGGGATATAGGACAGGATAGGATTGGATATATGATAGGATACAGGATAGAATGGGATATAGGATAGGATATATAATGGGATAGGATAGGATGGGATGGGATAGGAGTGTTGTAGTACTTGAGTTCAGACAAAAGCAGATTCAGGTCCATTAAGACCAAGACAATTTTTTTTTTTTTTTTTCAGATGCATTCCTGGCCTGAATAGTCATAAAAATATGGTCTTATAGGGTGTGTTCACAATTGTAGTTTGGTTCTCTTGGTTCTTTTGGTCTGGATCAAAAAAATACACACACACACACACATACAGTATATATGAAGAGTTCAGATGCAAAAGCCTCTAAATGCCATTTGAAATTTTCTTGTTTAATGATGATTTTTATCAAACTTGTCTATTTAAGTTCAGTAATTTCACTTAAATAACAATTAAAAGGTAATTATCATTGCCATCACTGAACTTAATTATACAAGCTTGATAAAAAATGATCATTCTAGAAGAAAAAATTTCAAATGGCACTTAGAGGCTTTTGCATCTGAACTCTTCATATATATATACTGTATATATATATATATATATATACACACACACACACACACACACATATATATATATATATTCCGATCACACTATCATTTTTAAAACCGAACCTAAAGACAAAAAAAAGAAGGTTTTTCTGATGGATATTTTGTGGCGGAACTTGTTGAACATCTAAAGCAATGCTGTGTCTAAGCACTTCATGTGCCTACATATAATGGTATGATAGAGCTGACAACTTATGAAGAGCTTATAAAATGTGTAAAAGAGTCAAAACACACAAATGAAAATCTGCTGCGAAGAGACGCGTTTCTGATGCCTGCAACATCACGACAATGATGAGAAAAAAAACAGGTATGCTTTAGCATTCTTGTGACCTGATGTCCTGTTTTTTGTTTGTTTACATGTCTTTGGTCCGTGTCGCCTTCATATGTCAGTCAAATTACATCCAAGTTAATTTGAAAGTGGAGTGAGATCCATCTTTTCAGGGTTCTCAATCTGCTTGTTTGGTGTGCACCAGCGTTCAGATCCATTAACAGAGAAATCGCACCAAAGTTTGTTTAAATCGAACCAAACCTGCCAAGTGTGAACACACCCAAATATGGATGTATGTGTTACAATACTGTAGGATAGAATAGGATGGCATATGATATGATAGGACAAAAGAGAAGAGGAACAGTTTGAATTGAAACTGCAGTTATTCAGTGTCTTGACATATCTACCTCTCTCACTCCTCTTCCATCCATTAAAGGAGTAGTTCACTTTAAAAAAAAACTTTTGCTGATAATTTACTCACCCCCATGTCATCCAAGATGTCCATGTTTTTCTTTCTTCAGTCAAAAAGAAATTAAGGTTTCTTTCCAGGATTTTCTCCATATAATGGACTTCACTGGGAACCAAACGGTTCAAGGTCCAAATGAGAGTTTCAGTGCAGCTTCAAATGGCTTTAAACGACACCAGACGATGAATAAGTGTCTTATCTAGGACAAAAGATTTGTTCATTTTGATGAACGAGTTTGAACAGGAGAGTCACGAACGCTCATCACAGAACAGAGCAAGGCGACCATTTGTGG